AGAGAGAGAGAGAGAGAGAGAGAGAGAGAGAGAGAGAGAGAGAGAGAGAGAGAGAGAGAGAGTTAGCGAGTTTTTTTTTTTTCATCTACAATCCTCCTCCTCCTCCTCCTCCTCCTCCTCCTCTTCTTCTCCACGGAGATCATGCCTTCCTCGTGCGGCCCCTCTGGCAGCAAGGACGATTGTGGACGCATGGGCGATGATGGAGGCAAGGGCAAAGGCGGCAGCAAGGGCAAGGGGGCCAACGACAAACCGCCATTTGATCCTGCACCGGAAGCAAAGCAGATGGAGTTAGAGAAGAACAAACCAGCGTACAAATGGGTGCTGCGCGGACAGGAGGCGGAACCTTTGGGGTATGGCAACTATTGGCACAAGTGCAAGCTCTGTGGCCGGTTGTGGACAACGTCATACACACGTGTTGTCGGCCATTTCACAGCGAAGAGAGACCCATGTCCCGGGCGGACCGGGGAGATCCTCCATATCCTAGCGAGCAAGGGGGCGAAGATTGACTGTCCCAGCACACGTAGAATCATCCAACTGTACCGACTGGAGAACGACATCGCAGACTATTCGAATGCACAACCTGTGGTGGACGCTGCAAAGGAAGAAACCTTGGCGGACTTCATCGTACCCCCGCCGGCACCAGGCAGAGAGGCGATTGGCGAGAGTGCAGATGGGGCTTGTGGGGTGACAGATGACAGATCAAACATTCCTGAGGGGGGGGCGGGCCCATCGGCTGAGGGATCTGCGACAACACGACCGTCCGACAAGTTGCAACAGGCTTCCATCCGACGGTGGACAGAAAACAACTCGCAGCAGCGCTTGGATATCGCGTGGGGGTTTCATTTGTACGAGCACGGGGCTCCCTTCAACTACGTGACGGGGGAGAAGATGCAGGAGCTCCATGAGTTGTACTTGGAGCTGGGGGAGAAGAACCAAAGGGTGAAGATGCCGAACAGAATGCAGATGGCCACAGTTGTCCTCGACATTGCATACGAACGGACAAGAGAGTCGATGAGGCCGCTGATGGAGGGATGGGACGTCACAGGCTGCACACTGATCACAGACGGGTGCACGGATCGCAAGTCCCGACCCGTCATGAACTTCATTGCAGCCAGCGAGAGCGGAGCTGTTTTGCTGAAGGTGGTCGATATGTCGAAGAGAAAGAAAACTGCAATCGCGTTGGCAAAGTTATGGGAGGGGGTGATCCATGAGATTGGTGTGCAAAGAGTGGATGCTTTGTGCACAGATAACGCCGAGGTGAACAAGCATGCGGCCAGGCTGTTGAGGAGGCAAACAGATCTCAACATCTCACGGATTCCGTGGGTGCCTTGCGCGGCTCATTGCCTCAACTTGCTTCTCAAGGGAATCAGCGGCGAGCCATGGGTCCACGAGTTGTACAAGAGGGGCAAGACCATTGTCAAGTGCATCAAGAACCACCACAAGACTGCGCAGATGTTCCTTGACAGCTCGGAGATGGAACGGACCAGGACACTCATCATGCCTACGGACGTGCGGTTTGCCTCCATGTATCTCATGTTAGAGAGGCTGTTCGACCGGAAGAAGGTGCTGAAGAACATGATGAAGGAAGGGTGGCTGGACATCAAGTGGTCTTCGAGGAAGAAGCGCAACATTGTTGATGTTGTGTACATGACAATTCGCTCTGACGATTGGTGGAGGGAGGTGGAGGCGGCCGTGGATCTCATGTATCCGAGGTACGATCTGTTGTGGAAGATGGACAAGAGCGGGACCGCCCCGTACCAGTTGTGGGGCTTCGAGGATGCGTTGATAAAGCGGATGGCCACCATTCCCAACATCACACCGGCGCGGCAGGAATCCATCGCGAAGAAAGTAAGGAAGCGCTGCAAAATGATGCGCCAGCCGGTGCATGCAGCAAACTTCCTCTTCAACCCCGCGAAGCGCGACCCTCGATGGATGCAAGACCCCAGGTGCCCTCTTGTGCAAAACACCATGAAGTTTTTGCTGTCTCAATGCGAGGAGGGGGCGGTATGGGGGTGCAAGGACCAGCTCCTGCTGTGGGAAGATTTGAAAGTGTTCCACAAAGAGCCGCAGGGGAATTCGAGCCTGCCACCCGCTAAGCAGGACAGTTTCTGGACAGACTTCGCGAAGTTCGACAGCAGYCTTAAGAAGCACACCTCTTCAGATTGGTGGGTGTGCCACGGGAAAAGTCACCTGAAACTGCAGCGCATTGCAGTTCGTGTGACAGCGATGTGGAGCACGGCCACACCGTGCGAGCGCAGCTGGTCCACTTTGAACCTCGTGCATGAGAAGAGGAGAAACCAGCTTTCCAGCGACACTATAAACAAGCTTGTTTATGTGCACTGGAACTTGCAGTTGTTGAAGGTGAAGAAGAAGAAGGCAGGGGGCTTCATCGACATGTGGGCTGATTTCTTTGGTGTGGACGGTCCTCGGCCTGCTGCAGATCCTGACATTCTTCCCGATGACGCGCTCCCGTCAGCGGAAGAGGTGGCTCGGCGGGATCGCCTGAGGAAGGCGCCGTACGGGACAATTCCGAAGGTGGGGAGGGTGGACCAGTCCAGCGGGACCGACAACAGTGATGATGGGGGGGATCTGGTATGGCGGGGGAAGGGGAACAAAAGACAGGGGATGGAATGTTTGGATGCTCCACCGGAGGGGAAGGGTGCAAGTCGATTACGAATATTATGGAGAAGAGGAAGAAGAGGAGGATGAATACGACGACATGGAGTTTGGACTTCGAGGGAGCGTGGACTCTGACGAAGAGCACAACGACGACGACGATGAGGATGGGGATGCTCTTAC